TTTTGCCTGACTGAAGCCTCATCTTTGATCTTTCTCAGCTCTTAAAGGATTTTACTCACATCTTTAGACCATGCATTCTTGACAGTGCTCTGGTATCTTTGCTCTGAAGCCATTTTCTATGGTTCTTTTGGGTAGGATTATGTCTTCCAAAAAGATATATTGCAGCTCTAATCCCCAGTATCTGTGAATGCCACCTTATTTGGAAACAGGGTCTTTGCATGTGTAATCAAGTTAAGACGAGGTCATACTGGAGTAGGGTGAGCCTTAGTCCAGTATGATTGGTTTCCTCATAGGAAGAAGAGAAGACAGAGACACACAGACTGAAGAATGCCTTGTGGTGACAGAAGCAGAGATTGGAGTGATGGGGAGACAAGCCAAGGGACACCAGTTGCCAAGAGCCACCACTGTGGTACTTTGTTACAGCAGCCGCAAGCAATGGATACAGTTACCATACGGAGAACTTGGGAATCTTCAAAACCACAGCAAGTCTCAGTTCCTCCATGCTAAACACTGTTTCCTTCAGCTTCTCTCTGTCTTTTGGCATTTTACTGTAAGCAGCCATAAGCAAGCAGGCACTTTCAACACTTTCAGTTGATGAGGTACATTTTCTACTTTCCATGTAACTGCAGGCAAGAGTGTTGCTAAAGTTCTGCCCCTACATAGCTAGAATCTCCCTTCCTCCAGTTTCCAATAATTACTCAAGTCCTGCAAGTCCTCACCCACAGCTTTAGCAAAGCTCCGAAGTCTTCTATGAACAATTTCTTCAAGGCATTTCAGGCTTTCGCTAAAATCCTTCTCAAAGCTCACCACCTAGTTCCAAGGCCACACCCACATTTTGAGTTTTTGTTACATCATCACCTAGCTTGAGGTGCCCAGATCTGTGTTAGGTATCTATTACTGTGTAAACAACGTTGCCCCCAGATTTAACAGATTAAAGCCAAACACTCATTTTTCACACAGTTTCTGACAGTCAGGAACGCAGAAGCTGCTTAGCAGGGTAGTTGGGGTTCAGCGTAGCTCCAGGCTGCAAGTCGGCAAGCGACCCACTGCCCGGGTTTTGCAATCTCAGAGGCTCTGACCCCAGATGATGGGTACACTTCGAAGCTCACTCATGTGGTTGTTTGTAGGAGGCTTCAGTTCCTTACTTCAGGGGCCTCGCCATAGGGCATGCTTATGACAAGGTTTCCCACACGATAGGTAATCCAAGAGAGAGCGAAAGAGTGAGCAACATGGAAGTCACCATGTTTTTTTAATCATCTCATCTCAGAGGGGACATGTTATCACTTCCGCTGTATGTTGCACAGACCAATTCTGGTACAATATGGGAAAGGACTTCACAATAGCAGGAGGTAAAGATTCCTGAGGGCTATGTTGGAAGCTGGCTACCACGGATATCTGTTATTTGGCACACGCAAGTTCACAGTTATGGTGTCATCAATTTGGCTGTGTACTGTTTCATACTTTTGAATTTTTTTTTAAAGATCAATATCACTAACTGTTATGAGGTGAATTGTGTGTACTCCAAGATTCATACTTGAAAGTCCCAATCTCCTGCAACTCAGATTGTAATCATATTCGGAGATAAAGTCTTTAAAGAGGAGACTAAATTAACACGAGGCCATTAGGGTGGGGCCCTAATCCAGTCTGAATGGTATCCTTAGAAGAGGAAGAGACACCAGGCAGGGCATGCACAGAGGGAGAACCATGTGAAAAGACATCAAGAGGGCAGACATTTGCAAGCCATGGAGAAAACCTCAGAGGAGACCAACCCTGTTGACACCTTGGTCTCGGACTTGTAGCCTCTAGAACTATGAGGAAATAAATTCTTATCATTTAAGCCCACGAATCTGTGGTATTTTGTTATGGCAGCCCAAGCAGACTAATACACCAATCCTCTGAAAGATATCTGAAAATATCTTGCTATTGCCCAATCTGTGTTTTTTTAAAAAATCATTTTTGTTCTTTCTTTTTTTAAGATTTTTTAATTTATTTATTTGACAGATAGAGAGAGGGAACACAAGCAGGGGGAGTGGGGGAGGGAGAAGCAGGCTTCCCGCAGAGCAAGGGAGCCCGATGCGGGGCTCGAACCCACAACCCTGGGATCATGACCTGAGCCGAAGGCAGACGCTTAACGACTGAGCCACCCAAGCACCCCTAAAAAAGTCATTTTTGTTCTGATGTATATAACTATATATCAATATATACACAATTAGATTTTTTCTATATAAAATGCATATGACTAGATTTGTTTCTAAACTGAGAGTCTATGATTTCATTAGGAGAACTGAAACTTTACTTTATAACCCATTTTAAATCTAATGCTCTACATTTTAGAGGTGGAAGCTGGAGGGATTTCTGTCTCTCTAAGATGGAAATGTAGCAGAAGACACCTCTCCATGGCTTATTGTGGATTGAAGTTAGGGATCATATTGTAATGGAAAAGTTGTTTCCAAGGAATTACCAGGTTAGTGCAGTTGAAGACCAAATTGTTAATCTCTTAGGGCCGGGGGAGGGGACTTGTACTTAGCCAGATTCGACAAGAGTCCAAGGGGATGTCATAATGGGCAGGACACAGATTTTGGGTAGCAATCCTAAAGAAATTCTCAAACCAAGAAGCCCTCTTAAAACAGCCCCCCAGCCATGAGGTAGGCATATCTAAAGAAGCAGCACTGGAGAATCTTTGAGGCCTCTGAGAACATGCTTTCTGATTTGTTCCTCGCTCTGCCCCTGATTACACAAGCTTCTGGTAACTTATTTATCTCTGCTGTGTCTTCTCCAGCGATTTGGATAACAGGCATCCTGTGTTTGGTAATCTTGTTAACTTTTAGTGTAATGAAATGCATTTTAACCTAACTTTCTTTAATGATCAAAGTCAGGACAAAACAATGTCTTTTGCCCACCCTGCAATTAAAGTAAGAAACTGAGCATGTTTTTACTCTAGCTTCTATCTTACCTTAAAATATATTATAAACCCAGTCTATTATAAAACCAATGAGTCAAGTTTTTTTAATTCATCTTTTTCCCAAAAAGCATTTATAATATTTTTTTTTATTTTTTAAAGATTTATTTATTTATTCGAGAGAGAGAGAATGAGTGGGGGGAAGGACAGAGGCAGAGGGAGAGAGAATCTCAAGCAGACTCTCCATTGAGCCCAGAGTCTGACACTGGACTGGATCTCACGGTCCTGAGATCATGACCTGAGTCGAAATCAAGAGTCAGATTCTTAACCCAATGAGCCACGCAGGTGCCCCTGAACTTTGTAACCATTTTTTAAAAACACATACTTACTGGTTGGATTTAGGGGGACCACAGATCCTTTTATACCTTGACTTCCTTATGTTTGAGTTAATAATTTTGATTTTTTAAAATGTCTTATATTTTTAAATTTTGAATAATTTTTAAGAAAGGCCAAATGAGTAAAATTGTTCCTGATTCTTAGGTATCTGAAAATATCATTCCACCACCTACACTCATGAATTAAATTTGGCTTGGAATAGTATGCTTAGATCATGAAATTTCCCCTTTAGAGAAGGAGATATTACTCCATTTGGAGTTGGTGAATAAAGACAGGTTAGCCTTATTTTTTCCCCTTTATTGGTAAACTATTCTTCTGTGTCTGGGTGCTTATATGATAATCTTTTTATGCTAGATTTGCAGGCTGTATCCAAGTATGGATATTTTTTTCTATCAACATTTTGATTTTTTTATACTAAGGAAAATATTTTTCTATTATGTCTGCGATTTTTATTTCTGCTCCTCTTGTTCCAGCATTTTCAGGAATATTTATTACACATAGGTTGGATTTCTGCTATTTTCACTCTGTGTCTATAATCATCTCTTGCCATTTCATCTTTATCCTTTTCTTCCACAGTCTAGGAAAGCTAGTTCATAGACTACATTTTATCCATTGTTAATTCTGCTCACTAGTGCATCTCTAGCATTTTTGCCTGTGATTACATCCTTCTCTTATTTTGACTGGCTCCATGTTTGACAAGGGCAGGTAGCTCAGAGTGACTAAACCCACTAGGATGTGCCCCCGGTGTCTGGCAGGTCCTCACCTCACATCTATACCTGGAGGATGGACTGATTGGTACAACCCTGGCCCAGCCTCCAGGTACTCATCAGTCTGGCCTCTGTCCCACCAGCATGGACCTTGACCACTTTCTGCTCCCAGAGCATTTCCTAAGAGAATACCCATCCTCATGTGCTATATTCATCCTCTCCCCTTCTACTCGCTCTGTGGTTGTACTAGGAGGAGTAATCTTAGAGTCAGTATAACAGAGATGAATTAAAGGAGGGGAGTTGCATGGGGCCCAATTCTGGCCCCCTTGGAACCTAATTCCCATCCAGAAGGGGAGCAGTGGTCTGCTTTCATGTTACAATAGCCCTGAACCCCTGAGCCTGGACAGAGAGTGGGCTAAGTAAAACCTTTTCTCAGAGTCTTTTTGTCTATTCATCCTGGGATTAGAAAATGAAACACTGCCGAGGTGGGGGATGTTTCCCCACACCAGCCCCACTGGCACTTGGTAAACTTCCTTCTAGATTTCTATCAATGTTAATATAAGGTTTTAGGTTTTTGCAGAGTGTCATGGGTGTTTTAATAGGAAAGAGAGTACATCTCAGGCTAATCGAATGGTTATTTTTTGTATATGCCTGATGTACCTTTTCCCCCCAAAGAACAATGTATTCATTATACACATAGACAATGATTTTTCAGTTCCAATAAGGGCTAAAAATTACTCCACTCATCAACTCCCATGGCAGCCCAATGATGGCTTGCGGGCAGAATTCTAAACGACAATACGAAGGGTTAAACAGTAGCATCAGGCCTGCAAAGCAACCAGGACTGTCTTGTCATACAAATGCCCTGTAGGAACTCTAACCATTTCCAGAAGCTTGTAATTACCCTGACTCATCTTCTACTACATTTAGCAGATCGTTCACCTGCAAGAATATGCCTTAAACACATGTCAAAAAGAAAAAACACAATGTATCTTTACCTTATAATAAATTCTGGCCACCAAACTCCGCTGAAGAACCCTTTCACGAAAATTCACTGCTTTCAACAGAAAGGCAAGATTATCGACTGTGTCCACATTAAACGCCAGGAAGCTGAAGGAAAAACACAGTGACCATTATTATTATTTTGTCTTCACCAAAGAACTCCATGTGAAAAAAACAGACAGGGCCTGTTCTGTCAAAAAGAATTTTCTTCCAATAGAAAAGCAGTGTAAGTACAATTCAGCCCTTCACATCTCTCACTCGCTATATTCATGCTTCTTTCAGGATTTTTCTGATGAATGCTTGGCTTGAATTGATCCTATGTGGTTGTCCTTGTGGTATAAAGATAACTTGGGTTTCCTGCTTTTTTCATTTCCTATTGTATTATAGGTAGTTATTCAATATTTCATAGTTTTTCTTCATTAAGATCTATATAATTTCCATCCACTGGGTTTGTAATAATTTTCTCAACCATTGTTCGGCATTTGTTATAATAATGATTACAAATGAATATTAGTAACTAAATACATCCATCACAAAGTATTTGTCAATGAATATTATTTCTTAAATACATAATGTATCAGGACCTGTGCTTATTACTGCTGTGCATTATTCAACAATCTCAGTAATTCTATGATGCAGATACCGTAATTATTCAATGTATAGTTTGGGGCTCAGCAAGTTTCAGCAACCTGCTCAAGGTCACATGGGCAGAACACGCTCAGGCTCAGGTTTTGTCTTAGGGGACACCTGTATTTAAGGGAAAAGGAGCCCCAGAGGGCAATGAGAGGGCTGTGGGCAAGCGCAGGGTAGAGTGTTCTGCAGAGAAAATGACGCTCTTCAGCAGGCAGTAAATTCCATCTTCCCCATCTGGCAATGAGGAAACTGAGGCATAGGGAAGTTAAGAGACTTAGGCACAAAGAGACTCAAAACACCTGAGTCTCCCTTAAAACCCTATGGGTTTTTCAATATGTGGCTCTGTCTTTTGTGCTAATTTTGCACACCTCCCACCTACCCTGCCCCATGAAACTTCCATTTAGATAGACAGCAAAGGGGTTAATTTACACTTTGGGTTTCCCATAGCTTAGCCACCCCTTTGCCCTCCCCTTGCCCCATATCCTTGGGAAGTAAGTTATCATAAGACCCAAATAACTTAGATGCTCATTAATTAAAATTAAACCCACAAGTAGCAGTTGTTGCTCAATCAGAAGCCACAAGAGAAACATTAAGAAGCAATTGACACCACGCTTTTGAAAATGCCAAGCACTGAATTAATAATTGCCCTCCATGTACAGGAAAGATAGGAGGTCATTTACATACTAAGTACCAGGAAATTTAAATTATATCTGTATTTATTCTGAACCTTTAGAAGGTTGAGTTTCTGTCCTAGTCTATTTAACACAAAGTGTAAAGAACTGTCATATTTTATTGAAAAGTATGTTTCAGTCATTCCAGAGACTGTTACTAGGAAGCCTGGAGACTGTGAATTTTTTTATTAGAAACTATCTTTTTTGGAATGTTTACTGTAGAATACTGTCCACCTGAGGTTGTGAACTTGGTGCGCTACACGAATTGGATCTCATCCACCCACCCTATCATGAGTCACATGCCAAGCATGGCCACATCACGTAGTTTTAGTAACTCACCCAGCATAGAAGACTGTGCAGATTCTGTTAAAAGTAGGAATATCGCTAAAGGCAACCTCTTTGTATGTTACAAGAAGGCCAAAATGACTCTAAATTTAAATTCAAATGCACATCATTAGTCATCAAAGAAATGTGAATGAAAACCACAGTGAGGCAGTATTATATACCCACCAAAATGACTAAAATTAAATATACTGACATCATCAAATGTTGAAAGGATACAGAGCAACCAGAATTCTCATACTTGTGGATGAGGTGTAGAATGGCAAAACCACTTTGGAAAAAGTTCTCATAGTTTCTCATAAAGCTAAAAAAAAACCAAATACCCTATGACCCAACAATTCTACTCCAACTATTCACCTTAGGGAAATAAATACATATATTCACAAAAAGGCTTGCATATGAATATTCACAGTAGATCTACTTGGAAGAGTGAAACATTGAAAACATTCCAAGTGTCTCTCCATCAATAAGAAAATGGAAAGCAAATCCTAGTATATCCATAAAATAGACTACTACTCAGCAATAAAAAGGAACAAGTTAACTACACACGACAACATGAGTGAATCTCAGAAAGCATTATGCCATGTTAATAAGCCAGCTACAAAACAGTACATACGTACAGTTCCACTTATATAACATTCTAAAACAGGAAAGACTAATCTGTGGTAGAAAAGTATCAGATTAGTGACTGCATCTGGGGTGGTGGTCACAGGAACTGACTGAAAAGGGACATGATAGAACTTTCTGGAGTGATGTTGATGACCTATAAATTAACAAGAGTTTCGGTTATACATGTGCACACACTTGTTAAAATTCAGTGAATGCACACTTAAGAGTTATGCATCTCATTGTATGTAAATTCTACATAAGAAGAAAAAACATATAGCCAAATTTTGAACTCTAGTTAATGATGTTCATGCTGAATTATTTAGAAAGTATGCTGATGTCCGCTGTTTACTTTGAAATGCATCAGAGAAAAAAAGATGAATTGATGGGTGTGTTAAGGAATTGATGCATGGATATATATGGGATGTAACAAGCACAGTAACAGGTTAATAGTAGAATCTAGATGGTGGGTGTTTAAATATTCACTAAAATTCCTTTAATTTTGCTCAATACTGGAAAATGTTCATAATATACTATGGCAAAACATTCAAGTATAATGCAGAATCTTCACTTTCCTCAACTCCCACAGTCTCCTAAGGATCCGTGGAGTGATGAGAGCAGCCAGAGCTCCAGTGGCAGCCCCGTGGTTGAGGGGGAGAGCAGCACTCATCAGGACAAGAAAGGACAAGATAGATGGAGCTGTTTGCAGAACCAGGCACAGCCCCGCTCAGAGCCAAGCCCTGCCTCCCGCCCCTAGTCTCGTGAAGACTTCTCAGTACCATCACCAATTCCTCCCATAGTCCACATGAAGGGGTAGTTTCTGGGTGTCTACACAAATGACAGCCTACTTGGAGGCATTTCAGGGCACCAGGAAGTTCTCAGCCCATCTTTCTTCATGCCCCCACTTGCTCATGGGACCTTCTCTCATGAGTGGTCGGTATGACTGCCATCCGACAGCTCTACTTGACTATAAGTTCCATAGGCCTGTGAACCCATAGTCACTACTGTGTCGCCAGTGCCTAGAGAAGTGCCCCATACACTGGAAACACGTTGGATGAAAAGGTTTTTCTCAATATACATAAAAATCACAGCAAGGTTTTGGGACTTAAGTAGATAAACACAGACAGACTGAATCAGTAAAACCTGGATGTGTGGGGGAGAGATGTGTACTGTTTCAGAGTTTAATAACAGACAAAAAAAAATGGACTGGAACTTTCCAAATATTTACAATTGGAATACTGCCTTTGGCACATCTCAAGTCTACCCTGGAAAATTTGCTAGGAATATAGATTTGCATACGGGTGAGGGGTTTTGCTTTCAAAATGATGGAAGCAAGCCCTGCTCTGCTATCTGGAAAAGAAATGAAAGGGCAGATGATTTGCTGCCAATTTGGGAACAAGTTTCCTGAATGGATGGAACTGATTCTGATGGGAATTATACTGTTCTTTCAACTCCTTATATGTTGGAAAATTTTCAAACTAATAAATTGGGGGAAAGCTAACAGTACTACACAATGCTCATTCAGAGCTAGACAGATTAAAAAGATGTACTGACTTTGTAGAGCATGCAAGGACAAATTGAGACATCACAACTAATAGAGACTTAATTGAAACAGTCCTAGAATATGGGAGTTGATGTTTTCAAGCTTTAAGATAGATGGTGGTTGGGGGCGCTTGGGTGGCTCAGTCAGGTAAGCATCTGATTCTTGATTTTGGCTCAGGTCCTGATCTCAGGGTTGTGAGATCGAGCCCCACATCAGGCTACATGCTGGGCATGGAGCCTGCTAAGATTCTCTCTCTCCCTCTGCCTCTGCCCCTCCCTGCCACTAAAAAAAAAAAAAAAAAAAAAAAGATAGACTACAGTTTGAATAAACAGGAACCTGGGCAGTAGTAAAAAAAGAAAAAAAAGAAAAAAGGACTACAGATTTCCTAATTTTATTTTATGCCAACAGATATGAAAAGTCCCACACACTATTATTTATTGTGTTTCCCATGTTTTTAATCAAGATTGTAAGATGACATTGTCTAATATTTCCTTGGAAATTAGTTCAACACATTTTGCTTATGGAGACCAATAATCCGCCTCCAAATAAAAATAACAATTTAAAAAATACACAAAAGTTTAAAAGCCACAATAAACCCCTTAAAAATAGAATAAAGGAAACAACATATTTATGATCATAAATGAATGAAGTAAAAAACAAAGAGAAGATCAACAAAGAGGAAAGCTGCTTGTTTAAAAAAACAAACAAAAAAACAGACAAATATCCAGTAAGATTAAGCAATAATAAAGAAGAGAAAAAGTGTAAGAAATAAATTTAGGAATGACAAACGGGACATAACTACAGATCTAGCAGCAGTTTAAAAGATAATCAGAGCATAGTATGAAAAACCTTATACCAATAAATTCAAATCCAAATAATCAATTCCTAGAAAATATTATTTATGAAAACTGACACAAGAAGAGAAAGCCTAAATGGTCTTAGAACAATTAAACTACAGTTGACTCCTGAACATTGTGGGGGGGGCTGACTCCCGTGCAAGAAAAAATCTGCATATAACTTTTGACTTCCCCAAAATTCAACTACAAATAGCCTACTCTTGACTGGAAGCTTTATCAATAACAAAAACAGTCAACACATATTTTGTATGTTGTATGTATTATATATTGTATTCTTATAGTAGCGTAAGCTACAGAAAAGAATGTGTTATTAAGAAAATCATAAGGGAGAGAAAATACATTTACAGTATTGTACTGGGTTTACTGAAGGGAGTCCATATGTAAGTGGCCCTGTGCTGTTTAAACCCGTGTTGTTCAAAGGTCAAGTGCAATTGAATCAGTAGTTTAAATATTCCCCCAGGCCCAGATAGTTTTCAGATAACTTATCAAATTCTCCCACAAAATAAGAAACTACTCCCAAAATATCTTTGTGAAACCAGTAAAACTCGATATAAATTGAAATCAGGGAACTACAAGAAAGGAAAACAGTAGGCCAATAAGTAAACAAAAACCCTAAAAACAACACTAGCAAGCCAAACTCAGGAAAACAGAAAAATGACAACACAGCATAGCAAAATTGAATGCTTCTCAAGCATGCAAGAGTAGTTTAACATTAAAAGATTTACGAGGGTTATTTATCACATGAACAAACTACAGAAGAAATATAACATTTCAATAGAAGCAAAAAATCATTTGCAGGAAAATTCATCACCTAGTAATGACAAAAATATGTTTAAAATAACAAGTGGAGCTTCTTTAGGAAGTTAACATGTGTCTATCAAAAACTTCAGCAAACATCATTCTTTCTTTTTGCAAACATCATTCTTAGTAGTGAAATGTTAAGCTAATTCTTTTTAAAACCAGGAATAAGACCAAAGAATACCTTCTACATGAAAAAGAATAAAAGGGAATAGCAAGTGGAAAGAAAGAAATAAAAAGTCATCATTTGCAGATGGTATGATTGTGTATGGAGAAAAGAATCTATACACACAGAAGAAATTATTTTTTATGGTGAGGTTTATATACAAAAGTGAACTATATAATAAATGGGCAACAACAAAAACATAATTTTTTAAAAGTATTCCTTTTACAACAACAAAATCATAAAGTACCTAGAAATAAATCTATCAAAGGATATATTATGTATAGAGAAAATTCTAGATTTCTAGAAAACATTTAGATTAAAATCCTTGACACAAGCATCAGTTTTATATATATGTATATATGTCAATTTTTCTGCAAATCTATAGATTTGATACACTTTCAAAGAAAATTACAATTTTTAAATATTGTGGTAAAATATATATAACATAAAATCTACCATTTTAACCATTTTTAAGAGTACAGTTCAATGGCATTAAGCACCTTCATACTGTTGTACCACCATCACCACCATCCATCTCCAGAACGTTTTCATCTTCCCAACCTGAAATGCTGTCCCCACTAAATAATAACACTCCCTTCTCTCCGCCTCCCACCCCCAGGTAACCATTTTCTACTTCCTGTCTCTATGAATTTGACTACCCTACATACCTCAATAAAACCACAGTCATAGAATATTTTCCTTTTGTGTCGGCAGGGTTTTTTTTTTTTTAAGAAACTTAACAAACTGATTCCAAAACTTATATGGAAGTGCAAAGGACCCAGAATAGCCAACACAACTCTGAATTACATTTTAGATATAATATAATATAATAATTATAAACCTAGTGTAATTGCAACAGTGTATTGTTGGATTAGGATACACAAACTCGGTAGGAACAAAGTAACCCCGAAATAGAAATTAATGTGAGTGCCAGGGCAGGCACTGCAGATCACTAGTAAAGGACAGTCTATTCAGTAAGTGGTGCTGGAACAGCTGACAATCCCTAGGGAGAAAAAAAAATGAAATTTGATCCCTTCCTCACACTACAGACAAAAATTTCTAATGGATTCAAGAACTAAATGTGAGAGGTGAAACTCTCAAACTTTAAAAAAAAATATTTTTATATATAAAGTATATATATATAATACATATATTTTATATATTTATCTTGTAGACAAGATAGAGTAAGTGTGGAGTATAAAAGATTGTAAATTCCACTATAATTTAAGAATTTATGTTAAAAGGCACCATAAAGAAAATATAAGACAAGGCACAGACTTGTAGAAGGTAGGTTGTAACATCTGTAACAACAAAGGATAGGAAAAAAAAAAGATCAGTACTAATAAAAAAAAAGAAAAAGAAAAATTGGCACAACCCATGGACAGGCATTTCAAATGAGAGGAAATATAAGTGGCAAATAAACTTGTGAAAGCATTTTCAACTTTAACAGTAATAAGGAAAATGCAATTTAAAGTCACAGTGAGAGATCTTTATACATACGTATATACACATACAGTACTGAAAAAATTAAGACTGATAAAACCACGTGTTGGTGAGGATGCCGGTTCCACAGGACACACGCTGCTGGTGAAGGTATAAATTTGTACAGTGACTTCGAAAGATAATTTGTTACTATCTAGTGAAGTTGAACGTTGGCGTACCCCACGACACAGCAATCTCACTCCTAGGTAATATATACAACAGCAACACACTGCAAATCACTAATGGGTCATAAAATCAGTTTAAAGGATCGAGATCAGTGTTTTTGAAAAAAAACAACAATTGAAAATTATCACAGACCATCACGAGTAATAGGCTAAGCATTGTTTCATGAGATGTTTGCTCCAGTGGTGTCTGCTAGGTGTGTGTGGAGGCGGGGGCTCTATGGATGTGTGGGTGTCAGTGGTTGATGTAAAATTTATTTCTTATTCTGAGTCACAGCAACTAAATTTGAAGGCCCTGTAGAAACTCTTAGACATATTCCCCAGAGAATGTCCAAGATTTTCCGTAAGAGATTTGTGCCAAATATCAAACACACAACCCAAATGTCCACTGATATTGGAGATTAGAATGGGTAAGTAAATTGGGGCATATACACACGATGAAATATTATAAACAAAGAGAACTGTTCTTCATCTACACATACCACAACTCAGATGAATCTTAGAAACAAAATAGAGTGACAACAGGAAGCTACACCATACCACATACATTACCCCTTATTTATCAAGCCTAAAGACAATACTAAAAAATCAATAAAAACAAGCACAAGCATGGATCCTGAAGCCAAACCACCTGGGATCAAATCCTAGCTCTGTGGCTCACTAGTGCATAACCTTGGGCAAAATACTTAACCTTTATGCCTCAGTCTCCTCATCTGTGAAATGGAAATAATAACCTACCTCATGGGGCTTTGGGAATGAAAATCTCTAGTGTTTGGAATATGAACACACAATAAAGAAGGAACAGGAGTAGAATAAGAACAGAATTAGCAATGTTCTGGTTCTCCAGTTGGGGGGGGTGGGGGCATGATCGCCGATGCTACATAATTCATGTACTTTTTGTATATATGGAATATTTAAAATTTCAACAAGAATGAGTTGTGCCATGACAAGGCTCCATGCGCTCAGGCCCAGTAGTAAGACACTGAGGGCCAACGGTGGTGCCAGCCTAAGCAATGACGTACCTGGTTCTCAGCTTGTCACTCCCAGACTCAGCACAGTTTCGGAGCCAGCTGAAAAGTGGCTTCTCTTTATGCTCTTTGGTGTATTGAGCCAGCAGTTCCCGCACCACAACCTGTGCAGACAGTTTATCATTCGTCAGTCCTTTGTCAAGAATGTAAAAAAATGTTAGAGTGTCTTGAAATGCTGTAGCCAGATAAGGTCCAGTTGCTTCTAGCAAAGTCCTTGGAAGGAATCAAATATCCTTCCGGAGGCCTCTGCCATGGCAAATGTGTGGTGCTTCCACTACCACTGTCAATCCCTCCCCCATGGCCAACTTGACTAACCAGCTAACTACTTACTGCTTGCTCTCTCCCACCTGAGACATCAGCCTCTAAGGCCAGTCCTGGGACCCAGTATTCTAGCTGACACTTCAAATAAAACCTATTTGCCTTCCGTGAACCAGATAGATGGATGGTCTGTTTTCTTTTTTGCTTCTAATATTCTATGGTTGATTACGCCTTTGGGGAACAGTATTAAATTGTATACATACAACAAGCTCCATCAATCTTCTCGTCGGCAGCTTTAGAGTTATAATTTGGTCCTAAATCTGCATGCTTTTCTGGTTTGGTTTAAAGAAGATGTGCATGTCTAGCCTGCTACACACAGAGGCCCAGTTGACAGTTGGCAGCAAGTGCTAGCCATGTCTGTAAGGCCACCTTGGACCAACCTGCCTCCCAAGCCTCTAGCTGACCGCCATGGTGCGAGTGGGCCCAGGCTTGGGTGGCAGAGGGATGACCCCCTATGAGCTCAGCCCAAACTGCTGACCCGCACAACCATGAGCTAACAATTGTGTGTTGTTTTAAGTTACTCCATTTTGGGGTGGTTTGTTACATAGTAATAAATAGTTGATTCAGTCACATACAAAACTAACTTTAGAATATTTCCTTCTTTGTTTCAGATACATTGATGTTTTTATAGAGATTATATAAAATGTTATATATACTTTCAATCAACAGTATATCATAAATGACATTTTTGGCTCACATTGCTGTCTCTCATTCTAGTTATCTGTTTAATGGCTGTATAATATTTTTGTTTAGAACCATCATAGCTAATGAGACATTCCCATTCACTTAGATATTTAGCTTGTTTCCAATTTTATACTGTCATTAATTACTTTGATATCAATATATTCAAACAGCATTCACTGTCCCCCCCCCTTTTTTTTGGTTATTACCTAAGAATAAATCTCATGAACCCAACTGATGCAAAGATCCTTATAAAGGGCCACCCTGCCTATAAGAGGGATCCTGGAAACTTGTCAAGGCATATTTGCCTAGGGGAACTTTATTGGCAGTGCTGGGAAGAGCCAGTCACACAATGCATGGGACAGTTTCAATCTGCAGAGGACTGTGCCACATCCAGTTTCCTGCCCAAATCCACGTACTCAAACCCATACAGCCAACTGATAGCCCAGAGTCTAACTCAGTTACACCAAAGTTTTAAGGTTCTTCCCATCCAAGCCTATGGAAGGCTTAAGCTCCACTGCCCCCTAAAGTTAGAGAAGGCCATAGGACTTGCTTTAGACCAGTGACATGCAAGCTGGTGTGATGTTCCCAGTTATGACAGGTTCCTAACCAGGGGCTGCAGTCTGCTGGAGGTTGCCATGGTAATCCCACGCAGGCATTGTCCTCTATATTGTTATGTTTATTATAAATTCCTTTTGTTTCTTTGAAGTATTGTCTTGAATTCTTGAAATTATTAAGTTATATTATCCATGATTTCATTTCAGGATAGTAAAGGTGGTATAACAAAATATTTTTTATAAAAAAGAGGGCATTAGGTCTAGTATGTTTAAGAATCACAGTACAGGGGCGCCTTGATGGCTCAGTCGGTTAAGCATCTGACTCTCGATTTCTGCTCAGGTCATGATCTCGGGGCTGTGGGATCGCGCCCCGCATTGGTCTCTGCACTCAGCATGGAGCCTGCTTCTCCCTCTCCTTCTGCCTTTCCCCTCCTCGGTTCTCTCTCTCTCAAATAAATAAATAAAATCTTAAAAAAAAAAGAATGACAGTACAGTATCATGGGTCAAGGATGTGAATATTTTTAAGCCTGCTGCTATATGAAATAAGTGTAAAAATCAAAACACTCCCAGCAACGGGGGGAGATTAACTAATTTTAACTAGAATTAAAATTAAAATTATATAGCAATCAAGTTTCACTGACACATCACTAGGATTAAGATTTACACTGTTTTTGCGAATCCATTACATTTATGATGGTTTTAACTCCATCTCCCTCTTGTTACAAGAGCAACATCATTCCAAGCATTAAAAATTCCTTTCTCTGATTTCCACCCTTCCATATCTTTACCTTTCTCTATATTTCTCCATAGCATTTATTGCTGCCTGATGATCTAGAGCAAAGCAACTTGTCTCCTGGTTTGTCTTTCTACTGTCCAGAAGGTAAGCTCCCAGAGGTCACAGTTTGCTCATCCTTACACCATCACACAATGGACAACACAGAGTTGAGAGCGGAGGAGTCTTTCTTGAATGAATGAACGAATAAATAAATAAATCCCCTTCCTGTTTTCAATTTTTTATCCAATCTCTTCAATTCCTTGATAATTCCTTTAGCTTTTGTCACTACTTCCACCTTTCTGATTTAAGCAACTTAAATCAGAAAAAAAAAATTCACTCTAACTAGAATTAAAATTAGAATGATGTAATAATCCAGTTCAGGCATTAAACTTAAGAGAAAAGACAGACAAATGGGGCTCTGGCAGATTAGTCATTTTGGATCTTTGCTCCCTTTTCTTTCCTTTTTGTTCCTTGCTCTTGGCATCTTTCCTCCTTTTCTAGGTCATAAGACAAGAAAATATCATTTTAAAAGTGAGTTTATTTCCTGCTGTTGACACTCCCTTGGTAAAAGATTAAATGATTGAAGCTATCAGCTGCCATGGGGTTTGGGCATTACAGTCTCTAAACCCAATACGTTATTTGATAAATGACCAGAGAGAGGCAAAGAGATCAGTCACAATCTTGACTGGGCATGCGACAAAAATGTGCTTGTTTTCACTCACAGATGTGCTCCTAAATACATTCTAATATGCTATTATGTGTGTGTGTGTGTGTGTGTGTGTGTACATATACATATATCAATTTTTTAACTTGCTATTTTAAAATAATTATAGACTCACAAAAAGTTGAAAACCTAAAATAGTACAGAGAGGTTTTATCTAGTCATCACCCAGCTTCCCCCCAGAGTGATATCTTACACAGCAATAGTGATTACCCAAATCAGGAAATTCAATACAATTTTACTTGTAGTAGAGGTTTCATTATTTGAAAATGAACCCAGTAGTAGATCATTTTGTAAAGTGAAAGAAATATTATCTTTTTGCAATACAAGTGATTACATTCTTATTTAAGTCTGGTGTTTTGAATACTCACACAAGATTTTCTTAAGACAACTTGTGATGTTATTTCTCTCTAGGTGACTGTTTTTGTGGTCGTGTTGTTTCTGTGGTTATTTACAGAGTTCTCTGGTTCTATATAAGAATACTCTTTATTTTCTTCTATATACTTGATTAATCCCCAGTGCACCTGCTCAGGAGCCCCTTTCTTAAGGGAACTCTAGGGGCTGGGTAGTCAGAACAGCCATGTGCTTGCCTTTTAAAAAAGATCCCATCTGTAGGAGGAATCACGCTAATCTGCAGCCAACATTTGGAAACTATGAGCCTAAGCAATTGTGCAGAATGACATCATAAACATGCATTTATAATGAATATCATATGCATCAGGCAACACTGATTATATAACATCAATGAAAGTTACTTTTTTTTTAGGTCAAATGGCTTTTTTTTTTAAGATTTTATTTATTCATTTGAGACACAGAGATACAGAGAGAGAAAGTATGAGCAGGGAGAGAGGCAGAGGGAGAAGCAGGCTCCTTGCTGAGCCAGGAGCCCGATATAGGGCTCGATCCCATGACTCTGGGATCATGACCTGAGCCGAAGGCAGACACTTAACCATCTGAACCACCCAGGCGCCCCCAAATGGCTTTTTAAGGCACCTATGAAGCAACTAGCATTTCTACATACTAAGTATTTCACTGATTTATGCCAGGTACAGTGAAACTTGGATGAAAAAGTCTAACAAGTAGTATCTGCTGCCAAGACAGAAATATTGAGAGCCAATTAGAATAGAAAACACGGTGTCTACGGAAAAGCCACCAGACATCATCCATTATGTAATAAGGATGAGCCAGGAAGTGGGGCTGCACTCAGGTTTGCACCACGTAGGGTGATGGGGCTACTTATGGCACTGGGGCCCAAATCATGCCCTAGGCATGACCGGCTATGTCATTTGGAGACCAGTGCCAAGTGAAAATGCAGGGCCCCTTGCTCAAAAATTAGGAAGAATTTCAAGATGCTGAGAGCAGAGTGTTAAACCCCAGCACAGGCCCTTCTGAGTGTGAGGTCCCATATGACTGTCCAGGTTTCCCCCCATGAGGCTGGACCTAGCCCTCGGGGTCTCAGTAGGACTGCCGACACAAACGTCACCGCATGTCCCATGTTTCTATTACATCGACATCTGGCAACCCTAGGCTCCTGATGGCAGCTCAGGTGTCACTCAGGGTATGAGACTGAAGAAAAAGCCAAGCGGACGTGATTCTCTAAGCCCTTAACTATTTTCCTCTGTTAGGTGCTGGACATCCCATCAAGGTGAGATTTCTTTGAGGGGAACCTTTAAAAATTCCCTGGATAGAAGAAAAAGAAGAAAGGTGGGAAGGGAGGGAGGGAGGGAGGGAGGGAGGGAGGGACAGGAGAGGTGAGGAGAAGCGAGGAAGAGCTCTTCTAACACAGAAACCCACGTGTACAATGCTCTGAGCAACTGTTGGGCCTTAAACATGGATCTGAACTTCATACTTCAGGAGGATGGACGGATCCAAAGCAGTGATGTAAGCCCAGCAAAAATTCATGCACTGCTCAGTAGAACTTAGGAGTGGTCAGTTTTTCGGTTTGATTTTTTGTTGTTGTTAAATCTGGATCAAATTTAACTTATTTTCCCCATGTCTCCTCCCAGTAGGAAATAAAATACATCCCTGTGGTTTCCTTCCTTCATGCCACCC